TTACACTCATCGAGACCTTTCATTTGAGTACCCACATCAATTTTTCATAAATTTTATATATTTATATATATATTATATATATGTATATATAAAAAATATATCAAAAATGCGAGTGGGTACTCAAATGAAAGCTCTTGAAGAGTGTAACATTGGGATGAGCTTATATCTTTAAAAAAGTCATTATTTAAGAAATGACATTGCTATCTTGTCAACTAATGACATTTTTAAAGATATAAGTTCATTCCGATGTTACACTCATCGAGACCTTTCATTTGAGTACCCACATCAATTTTTCATAAATTTTATATATTTATATATATGTATACATAAAAAATATATCAAAAATGCGAGTGGGTACTCAAATGAAAGCTCTTGATGAGTGTAACATCGGGATGAGCTTATTTCTTTAAAAATGTCAATAGTTAAAAAAGTACAGTGCAATTTAACAAAATTCATTATTTAATAAAGCAAAATTAACTAAGTAATTAATTAAATAAATTATTACAGGCCAAGAAGTTGAATTAACAATGCACGATGGAACAGTACGTGATCTCTGTTTTCTTGAAGACACATCTAACAAATCAAGCCTACTGATAAGCGGCGGTGCAGGTGATTGCAAGATTTACGTAACCGATTGTACTACAGGAACACCTTTCCAAGCTCTTAGTGGTCATAGCGGCCACGTACTCACCCTTTACAATTGGGGAGGTGCGATGTTTGTCAGCGGTTCGCAAGATAAGACTGTTAGATTCTGGGACTTACGTACCAGAGGGTGTGTTAATATGGTTACACCTGCAACAGTACCCGGCAGCAGGGTAATTAATTTTCTTAATAATTATCAATTAATAAATTATCATTATCACCAACATAACAAACAGCAAAAATCTATGACTAAAAATTTCTTTTATTTTATTTCTTGCTAGATAAAATTTTGAGGACCATTTAATTATTGTACTGAATAATAATAATAAAAATATCAAAAGTATAAGTGAATAAATCGAAATTTTATCTAGCGATTCTGATGAATAAAGATAAGGAATGAAATTACGTGTCTGAGTAGGATTGGATTTATTTACAGGTGGGCAGCCCAGTGGCAGCGGTTTGTGTGGATCCATCGGGAAGATTGCTTGTTTCTGGTCACGAAGACAGTAGCTGTGTTTTGTTTGATATAAGAGGTGGTAGAACTGTTCAATGTTTTAAACCTCATGCCGCTGATATAAGAAGTATTCGCTTTTCACCTTCTGCTTATTATTTATTAACTGGTGGTTATGATAATAAACTTGTTCTTACCGATCTTCAACGTAAGTTTATTTTTTTTTTTTTATAATTAGTGTAATTTTTTATTTTTTTATTTTCTTAGTCTATTTTACACTCTCAAAAAAAAAAAAATATTTTTAATTTTCTATTAAAATTATTGGCAAAAATAAATTTAAAAAAATTTTTTAAGATTTTCTGTACATAATAATTACAGATAATTGTAACAGCTATAAAAAAATATTTTTTGTACTTTAAAAGTGTATTTATTAATGATACTGAAATTGAGAGACTTCTGATTATTTTTAGAAATTTTTTAACTAATAAATTAGAGCAAAAAAAATTTATTTGAAAAGTTTTCGATAAGTGTAACTCCAGGATGAATTTATATAGTTAAAAATATCATCAGTCGAAAAAATACAACGTAATTTCTTAATTATTGATATTTTTCAAGATATAAGCTCATCCTGGGGTTACACTCATCAAGACCTTTCATTTGAGTACACACATAATTTTTTTCATATATTTTATACATATGATATTTCTCATATATGTGAAATATATAAAATATATGAAAAATTGATGTAGGTATTCAAATGAAAGGACTCGATAAGTGTAACTCCAGGATGAGCTTATATCGTGAAAAAAATATCATCAGTAGACAAAATACAACGTGATTTCTTAATTATTGACATTTTTAAAGATATAAACTCATCCTGATGTTACACTCATCAAGAGCTTTCATTTGAGTACCCACATGCATTTTGATATATTTTTCATATATACATATATACAATGTATATAAATATATGAAAAATTGATGTGGGTACTCAAATGAAAGGTCTCGATGAATGTAACATCAGGATAAGCTTATATCTTTAAAAATGTCAATAGTTCACAAGATACAAGGTCATTTCTTAATTATCGATATTTTTAAAGATATAAGCTCATCCCGATGTTATACTCATCAAGACCTTTCATTTGAGTACCCACATGCATTTTTCATATATACATATATGTAATATATATATGTAATAAATATATGAAAAATTGATGTGGGTACTCAAATGAAAGCTCTCGATGAGTGTAATGTCAGGATGAGCTTATATCTTAAAAAATATCATCAGTAGACAAAATACAACGTCACTTCTTAATTATTGACATTTTTTAGGATTTTATAGACCTAATTTACTATTAAAAAAAAAAAAAAAATTAAGAAATCGTCAATCTTAAAGTTTATTCCAACCATTTTTTTGTTAACAATTTAAATAAAAAAATTATTATAAATAAATTTTTCTCTACCTTAAATTACAGTGTAATTAAATATCAAATATTAATTGTTTCAGGTGATCTAACATTGCCATTACCAAGTGTCGTAGTAGCCCAACATCAAGACAAAGTAATCTCGGGTCGTTGGCACCCGACAGAATTTTCATTTCTCAGTACATCTGCCGACAAAACAGCCACCCTCTGGGCTCTTCCTCCTGTCTAAAAATTTAATACTCATTTACATTATTTATATTTATATTTATAATTTTTGTAACTAAAAATAATTTGCTACCTAAAAAATAATTTGTAAAATCATTAGCAAATGCATTGAATTCGCACAATGGACCATGACCAATGATAAATTAAATCTCTTATGTTATTAAAATAAATATAAAACGTAAACGCGTACTTGAAAAGTAATTATCTTCATAAGTATCTCTTTAAGTTTATTATTTTTAATATTATTAATACTATTAAATTAATTGTTGATTGATACTACGTAATCCAGACGTAAATTAATTAATAAACAAAGACTGGAACGTGTTGCAGTTTTGAATAAAAACAATTATACAAGTTTGAGATTACGGGTCACCATTTTTAATATTTTTTTCATAAAATTTAAAAATAATGTAAATAAAATCCGTGGAATTAAAATAATTTTACAGTCACCTTGTGTACAGTTTTATTAATTAATTAATTAACTAATTAAAAGTAATTTGTATTTTTTTCTTAATATATATATATATATATATATATATTTAATAATTTGTTGAACAAATAAATTATTCAAATTCTAAATTTGTTATGAATAAAAAAAATTTTTTTTTTTTATAGTTTAATTTGTAAATCATTATTATTATAATTATTAATTAAAGTATTACTAAAATATGTTTAAAAATAAAATAAAAGCTTAAAAATTTTACAAAGAAGAAAAAATTCGATAAAATTAATCAGTAATTAAAATAATAAAATTAAAGTCATTAATGTACTGAATTGTAATAGAAAATAAGCAATTATTAAATTATTTTTTTAACTGTCTGCGCAAATTATATGTATTAAAATATATCAAAAAAATTTACAGCTTTTAAAATGGACAATTGCTAACAGTTCACTGTGCCTTGAGTCATGGCTACTTTTGATAATTTTTCAATTACTATATTGTTCACTACATATTGTTTGTTCAGTTTCTATAATACTTTTGTACATTGCAGTATAATTTTCTCCGCTATGTTTAATATATATATTTATAAATATATTTAATTAATTAACGGGATTACTACGTATAATAACTTATAACTTTGTACTTTTTCTGTAGATACATGACATAACGTAAATTAATAAAGAAAATCTTACATTATAAAGTTTTATTTAAAAAAAATTTTACCTCATCCTTCATTTTTTTTTTAATTTTTTTTTTTGTCGAAAATAATTTATATTATTAAGAGAATAAGAAAAATTTTGTGTAGGATAGTCATAAGACAAAATCGGTATTTTTAGTAAAAATGCAAAAACGATTTGATTGGTATATGATGATCATTAAAAAAAAAATCAGAGTGGTATAACGAAAAACAAACATTTTAAAAAAAATTTTTTTTTTCATTAAAAAAAAAAATAGAAAGAAAAATTTTACCACTCTGAAAATTTCAGGGAATTTGCAAAAAATACTGAAGTTTTTT